CCTGTCTAATATCAATCTGTCAGGAGATAGTGACAGAATGAAAAAATATGTAAAAAATACATTTTTAGAAAAGTTACATACTGCACCTTTAAGCTTATAAAGATCCACCATGTTCATTTTCAAGTGATTTAACTGTTTCATTTTGGTGAAATTAATTCTGAGAGATCTCCACTGTATCCTATACAGGCAACATTTAAGAAAATTATAAAAAAAATAAATGAAGAGGCATCGTTATCAGCAAATTTCACTGCAGACTTGTTCTTAAGCTTATGAAGAATGAGTGTGCTCATGTTTAAGTGGTTTTACTGTAGCATTTTGGTGCAATTAATTTTTAAGCTCATAACTGTTTAATACAGGGTATATTTTAGAAAATTCCTAAAAAAAAAAGAGGCTTCGTTATCAAGTTACACTGCAGACTTGTTCTTAAGCTTGTGAAGATTGAGTCTGTTTGTTTTCAAATGGTTTCATTGTTTTATTGTGATGTAATTAATTTGTAAACTTCTGTGCCCAATACAGTGTAAACTTTGAAAAATTCTTAAAAAAAAAGAGGCATTGTTATCAACTTATTTCACTGTGGTCTTGTTTAATAATTTGAAGAATGCTTATGGCTTAATTTTAAATCTTATTTACTGCAGCAGTTTGAAATATTTACATTTTAAAGACTTTAAGCTGACTGGCTTCAGCACCATGGTCAGCTGCTACATTTAGGTTTATTGTATGTTAGACAAAGAGAGATTATTGAGCTAAAGTCTGTTTCATGTAGCTTACAACAGTTGTTAATTAAAAGTTGAAAGCACTGGTACAGTTAAACATGCGAACGAGTAGAAAAGTAAGTGTTCATCCTCATTTATTACTGTCATGTTGAATATTAATGAATCCAAGTGTTGTTTATGAGCTGAATGCTTCTTTTTTCTTTTTAAAGCCTTTGTACATTCAAACTTTTCTTTAAAAACCAAAACAGTCTATGCAATCACATGTACAGTATAATGACCATGAACATAATAATAATAATAATGATAATAATGATAATATATATTTTGGTGCAATTAACTTTCAAAGATTATAAGGATGGTACTCCAATATGCCAAAACTAACTGACTTTCTTATGGTGCTTTCTGATAAAATTGTTAATATTGCGAAGAAAAGCTTGCATACTAAATTTTATATTAATATAAATTTTCCAACCACTGCTGCATGTGGGTTGAAAATCTTGTGTTTCTGACATTATGCTCATTTAGATACAGTATATAATACAAATCACACCACACAGCAACACAGTGGTG